ACATAGGTGGTGATAATTATGGTGAAGTTCTGGTCAGAGTATAATACAAGTAAATAAACTGCGTAACCCTAGGAATGATGCCAAGAGTACATGCTAGGCCTTGACGGATTATGCTAATATTTTCGTGAAATTATGCTTTTCGCATTGCTGTAAAAATTGCAGAATTATGCTATTTTTATGCTAAAAGTTATCATATTATGCCGCATTATGCTCCCATATGCTGCAAATGCATAATGGTTCAGTGCAAAATATTACACAGGGGAATTTTTTTGTAGAGGGCGTTGTACTGTAGTAGCAAAAGTTCAACGGGGTCAACGCACCGTCCGACCTAGCTACGACCATCACTGATTGTAGTGGACTGGACATAGTCGTAAACCTACGACTTCCTAGTGCATCTACTTGTACTTGTACTTGTAGAACATGTACATGTACAACTGTATGGAATTTGATGCGAACAGGCGGATTATTACAATTTTATGCGATTCGTATGCAATTTGCCTCGAATTATGCGATTATTCGATTTTGGTAGGAATTATGCGAAAAATTATGCTAGCATAATCCGTCAAGGCCTAGTACATGCCTATGAGTCTCCCTTTCTGATGACCCTTGATTGTTAGTTACATGTACATGTATTTTGTTTTATGTTCGACCGTCTTTGACGTGACTAAGTTGTGCATTGTACCATGTGTACTGTTGAGGCTACGAAAGAACAAAATTTAATCGAAAACAAACAAAAACACTGTGTACATGTATTGGGTCCCCCAACACTCAAAACATGTTGCATCTCTTCATATTTTTAATTTGGCGAGTTGAGGCACCCTACAGTTAGCCCTTTTCCAAAGGTGCTCTTTTAATTTGCACTCAGTGCCTTTCGCGTCCCTCAAAATATGCTGATAAAGTGCTCTTTTTTCGGTGAAAACAGGCAAAAGTGCTCTTTTTTCAGTGAAGCATAGCCATGATAATTATCATGATACATGCTCAGATATGAACCCAAGCTGAGAAATGAATACGCACTTTTCCATTTATGGGTCCACGAAAGGCAAAGCAGGAAGTAAAGTTAAAAAACGTTTTACAGCATTGTGTACACCAGTACTGGGTACAAGCTTCACCAACTTGTTGCCCCCCAAAAAAGCAGTGTGCCAAGGCCCATCGAGCACTTGGAAACTGTGATCGCATGCATGAGCAAACAGATTTTAGCACTTTTTCAGCTAAAAAGCTCAAAAAGGGTGATATTCACCAAAAAAGAGCAGTACGTGGCATGTGGCCTCTAATTTCCTAAAAACGCAATAAAGGGCGAAAGAAACGGGCTTTTCCAAAAAGGGCGAAAAGGGCGCGCACCTTTGGGAAAGGGCTACCTACACTACAGCCCTATTGTGGCAACTAGCCCTTTCCCAAAGGTGCTCTTTTAATTCGCACTTAGTGCTTTTCGCGTCCCTCAAAATATGCTGAACTGGTGCTCTTTTTTCAGTGAAAACAGGCAAAAAGTGCTCTTTTTTCAGTGAAGCATAGCCATGATACATGTTCAGATATGAACTCAAGCTGAGAAAGGATTACGCACTCTTTCATTTATGGGAAAGGCAAAACAGGAAATAAATAAAAAACCCACTTTTACAGCATTGTGTACACCAGTACAATCTTCACCAACTTGTTACCCCAGCCCCCAAAAAAGCGGCGTGCCAAGGCCCATCGAGCACTCGGAAACTGTGATCGCATGCATGAGCAAACAGATTTTAGTACTTTTCAGCTAAAAAAGCTCAAAAAGGGCGATATTCACCAAAAACGCAATAAAGGGCGAAAGAAACGGGCTTTTCCAAAAAGGGCGAGCACCTCTGGGAAAGGGCTAGTGGCAAGTGTCGATGGCTGATTCTGCAAGTACTCAAAAACAAAACCTTTTAAAGATTTCTACAGAAAAGATCTCGGAGCAGTGCACTCACTGCCCTGTACTGCTGTCTCTGGTTTACACGACTCTTCATACACTGTAGTTGTTATTACATGTACAATGCATGTACATGTAGCAGCGGACTTGCACGCTCTTGGCTTGTTTCTATTCTTGATGATACTACTCAAAACCCTCTATTGGAAAGAACACGAGGATGGAATAGCAAAAGGTGCAACGCAAAACAATGTAGAAAAGAGATCCAAAGCAATAATCAAGAAAACAACTGATAGGTCTGGCTTTTTTCTCTTCTCAGGCAGTTCACTTTCCTTGACTGTTTACCAAGAAAACAACAATAATGATTATTGTTATTTCAAACATGAGCCCTCAAAAGAAGTATTGTGCAGAGGAAACAATATACATGTACATGTACATTCGTGATGAAATTAAAATTCCAAAAAAAAAAACAACTGGACGTATAATGCAAACACGAGATCTAGCCACGCGACAACACACTCTTGACTTGTTGGTGATACCGTGATACACATACTACTGTTAGTACTAGTTTGGGCACCCTGTAAGAAGACCTTAGGGTCTGTTGGGAATGCCCAAGTAAAATAATAAAATACAATACAGTACTGTATTTGTCTTTCTTTACGGAGTTGTTGTTGCTGTTCATTTTGCTACTCTTTCTTTTTCCCTCCCCTTACTTTTATTTATCGCCGTGGTTGGCAATCACCCACTCTCTTAACATTGGCCGGTGTTTCCACCGAGTCTTGAGATGTTGTAATAAATATAAATATACAAGGTGCTTGTACAGTGCTGGCAACTGAAATCCGACCCCCTAGCATCTCGTACGAATCGCTAACGCGGCTAACGCACCGCTAGGGGGGGGTCGGATTTCAGTTGCCAGCACTGTACTAGATTCTTCATGATTGTATCATTCATGCTCGCCTTGACGGTGCATGCAGGAACACGCGGCTCCGCGACAACGGACACATAATGTCGTTTATCATTTATTATGGTGTCCTTTTTTCAACTTATTTTGAATTCAAGTCATTGAAACAGATGCCAAAACACCGACGCAACGGCTGCATTGGTCGTCTGCAAATCTGATTGTTTCGGGGTACGCGGTGTGCAGAGGGCTGGTGACAACACGATCCTGTCCTAGCTGTCTCGACTAAAACACACAATAAAAGCTACATAAATAAATTGTGTACTTCACTTGACATGGTTCAGAATCATAGTGGGTGAAGAGGGATTCTGAAAGGGACCATTCAGCGCCGGCTATGCCCGCACTCGGCACAATCACTTTCGCCAACAAAGTCCAGTAATTTAAAGACGCAGTGTTGAATGCAAGGTTCATCTTCTGGCGTTATGCCAGGTATTGATTCGCTCTTGTAAAGGCCCCGAGTCTAGACGCATTCTGTGCATGCTGGGTCTTAGTCTTAGTTCTACGGCGCTGCTCAATGAAATCCAGTCGCGTCGCTAGGCGCCGGGGGTTGTGAAGCCCTAGACCTGCAAACACTGGGCTGCGACATGGTGCAAGGCGCAAACTTGAGTGACGTGACTGGATTTCATTGAGCCGGACTGTCCATAATTGTAAAGTGAAATGCAGGGTTTCGATTCTTTCCAACACGACCTGGTCGTGGCGAACGCTTCTACATGTACTGTAAAAGCCATTATTTTAACGAGGCGCATATATAACGATTTCCCCAAATTGACTAGTTTACGTGTACCAAATGTAACGATTCTCACTCATTCTGAACGCTCAATAGGACAGTATATGTATCGATTTCTGTATAACGATTTCTGTTTTAACGACAGATTTCTCCTCGTTAACTCGTTAGAGTTAGCACTTCGTTATAATGCCCCTCTACTTGATACATGCACGTGCTATCATTGCTACTGTACTGCTGTTTGCTGCTGGTTTGGGAGCAAACCCGGCGGTACGAATGCGTAGTCATTCACTCATGATTCAGACGAAAATGAATGATGCTCTGATCAGCTGAGTACACAGGCGTGAGCTTGAGCACGGAAACCATGACCTTCTAGTAATTCTCCTACATGTACGTGTATGATTGTACATGTACATGACTGTAGTTGAGTCTCTCACTCACAGTCTCAGACTAACTAAAGTCCGACGCGTCCGGAGCTCACTCACTGAGTCTGTAAGACTGTATGGATCATCTTTCTGCTCTCTGCGGCTGTGCTGCTATGCAGTACATTGTGAGCTCGTGGCGGCAGCTGCTTCAACCACATCTTGTAAACGGGACGCAAAGCGATATGGCCCTGCCGTACGCGGTCTCAACTGCATGTACATGTAGTGTTAACGACTAATGTTCTTCTTAATAATCTTATCTCCCCAAGTCTACGGTTTGCCGGCTGCCCACTCTGACTACACCCGGTCACAGTCACACCGCGTACCGGCCCGTCCGTTCTCGGGTGAAGCCGTGTGTCCTTCACGTCGACCCAATGCACGCCCGACTAGCTGTATACATGACATTGTACTACTACTGTACTAGTACTAGTAGTAGGTCTTAGGCCACAGACTCTACACAATGTTATAATTATTACTAGTCATGAAATCTTGCAGATACCGGTATACAGAGAGACCTTCCGGGGACCTTGACCTAACCGAAGACAGTGGAAAGGTTTGAGTCTCCATTATCCGCACCTTTCTGAACCTGAGTGTCATTATCTAGGGAAGCAGCTCCACGTCGATCTGGTGACATGGTCATATTCAATTATTATTATTCGTTACATTATGGCTTGTAGGCTTTGTATTAATATTATGTAGCGTGGGTGCAGGAAGCTTCGAAGATCTGCATAATGCAAGAGTATCAGTTTATTGGTGAGTCAGCCCCGCATGCTGCTGTATACTGTAATCATTCATTCCGCTCCACAGTCAGTCAGTGACAGTGGATCTACGGGTCCACCCGGACAGTCTGTCCAACAGCCTGAGGCAAAGTAGACACAGCCCTCCAACCAAGTCACGGAAGCTTGAGTTTAGGTAGTGGTGCGTAGTTCAAGGCAACGTGAGCGTATGCATGATCTACGTGCTTGCATCACAGCCCATGCCGCATGCGGACAGCGGACCTGTATGCTGCACTATACACTAGTCTACAGTCGTTATCGGTAGCACTTCGGTCTTCACGGTCCTTGTATGCCGGATGGGTCGCCGCTTGTTTGTGCGCGCCCAGCCCTTTTGGTGGCGGCAGATTGCGGACCTTCGCTAGCTCGTCATGCAACTAACTACAACGTTACTTTAGTCTAGTCCGTAGACCTACGCCAGGCTACGGTACATCTTTGATGTTTACTGACTACTGAAGCACAATCATAGAGGAAGTGCAGCGGCTGGCTCGTTACAGACTCCGTGTTCATGGTGTTGTCGCTCACACTGGATGACTGTGCTACTGCTATAGCTTGCACTGCTCTCAGCCTCAGGTCAGGCAACTGGTTTTTGTAGGCGGCAGCGCAGCATGCAGCGAACACACGGTAGTGGAACTTACTCCTGTTTTCAGCCGTTGGGAGCGTGCGGAGCTTCGCCGGAACGCAGGTTCTGAACGAGCCCAGTCGCTGGAGGTTGGTGGCGGCCTTCAGGTCTTCAGTGGAAGGTCGGCAAAGAGTGGTTTCAATGGTCCTGTGTCTTGCCTTCAAGGGGTCGCTCGCAAGGACATGTGCATAGCTGAAATCCTGGATGTTTTGAAAGGTACGGCTGTCATTATTTGTTGCGCTGCGCTTGGCGAGCTGACACGTGGCTTCAAAGCGTTGCCGTTCATTGTCATTTTGGTGACCAGACCATGGCAAGGTTTGTGTTGCATTGCATTCTGTATGTCCCACAGTCCATTCACCTGTTCACCATGTTGTGGGCACTTCACTACTAGACTAGTGTTTCTTCGCCAGCCCGAAGGCCCACTCTCCTGACAAAATACGGATGAAGAACTACTTGCATTGATATTGTGGCTTGGACCAGAGTGCTTTCTGAAGTGGTTGTGTTTTTGCGGTATTGAAGGTCTGTAATGCGTTGGTTTAGCGCAGTAGTTGAGCGAGCAGTGCCGGTTCAGTGGCTTACTTTGGACCGGTTCATGTACTGATATTGTAGTACCTCTGAGCTGAGGTCAGTGAAGAGTGACGAACTACTTACTTATGCCGGCTGGAGCTCGCAGGACTGTCTCACTGGGACATTTTAATCGTGTATTGTTGACGGGCATCCGCTCGGGACGACCCTGCTGTATGAATCTACATGTATGAGGAGCCATACAACGTTTACATAGTGATCAGAGGGCCTGTCGAAGTAGTGCCACCTTTTGCGAAGCCTTCAGCTAGCCTGGCTTCACCATCATCAAGCAGTTCTTTTGAAAGTGACCAGTGACTGAGCTCAGGTCTGGGGCCAGTGACTGTTCAGCATGTGTGCTGCTGAAAACAGAGACACTTCCTTATGACCATTGCTAATATTGGCTATACAGTCATGTAAGTGGTGTGTACCTATAGGCTGTACAGGCTGTATGTCCTTGGTGGGCTGCAGCACAAAAGGTCATGGCAGATGCCTGTCTACAGCAGACAGGCAGGCATAAATCCTTGGGCTGAAGTGCCAGATGTGGTGACACACTGTATGTCAATCTGACCAAAATGCTGCTGCAGTTGGGCAACATCATTATTATGGTGATGGGTTGCTGCATGCATGCACTTTTCTCAAGTTTTAGTGCTGAAAGAACCATAGTAAAGTGATGTTTATGTTTTGCCTGTCTCAGAAGTCCAGAAGTCGTTATTTTTTTACTTACATCATCACTTTCAAGCCTTGGAGTTGGACTTGGAGTACATGTGCATGATTGTACAGGGATGGATTCTGGGTAGTGTTGGATCCACTCTGCCCATAAGAAAGTGCCAGTATGTGGCGCGTATGGCCCTGGTGTGGCATGCGTGTGTTGTCCACTGCAGCTTGTGTGGCTTACACCTATTATTATGTGTCTGGGACAGGTACTAGTAGACACATACATGTGTCTACCAGTGGCAGGTACTAGAGGCATACAGGTACTAGTAGAGGCATACAGGTACTAGTAGAGGCATACAGGTACTAGAGTACTAGAGGCATACAGGTCCTAGAGTACTAGAGGCATACAGGTACTAGTGGCATACAGGTACTAGTGGCATACAGGTACTAGAGGCATACAGGTACTAGAGTACTAGAGGCATACAGGTACTAGAGTACTAGAGGCATACAGGTACTAGTGGCATACAGGTACTAGAGGCATACAGGTACTAGAGTACTAGAGGCATACAGGTACTAGTGGCATACATATGTCTACCAGTGGCACCCTGGTACCTAGGAAAGCCACCCGAACGTGTAAAGTGTTCGGATTCGTACGAAAGCTAGATCCTAAAATCAGCAGTGCTGTGACTGCGGACTGGCTGGCGACGTAGAGCTTTGTAGCCTGAATGATGTCATTTGAGTGACTCACGACGACTGAACTTTGTAGCCTGAATGATATCATTTGCCGGTGACTCACAACTGCCGTCTAGACGCAATGTTTAGATGATTGTTGATGTGAAGGGATTCGCTACATTTCCCTTTCTTTTAAAAACATTTTTGAAAAATTGATCTTTTCCCTGTCTGATTGCTATGGTGCTATGTGCATCCACTCTGCTTCTGCTCGACCCCCTACAGATATATCTGACTAAGTGGAGGAAACAAACGTTGCTCATTGCGCAATCATTGTGCAACCGTGACGCGTGACTTACGCCACAGGTGTGGTGCAAGATGTCAGACGAGGGCGAGATGTGTGGCTCGCCGCCTCCGCTCATACCCAAGGGTGGCGGAGAGGACGCTCGGCAAACGAAAAGCGGGGATGAAACATCCCGGCGGTCTTCGGTTACCCCGGCAGACACTGTGGAAGCAGGCAGCAATGTGCGCTATCATCCCTACGGTCGCTCCCAGCCGGGTGTTGCCGGTCAACCCTCACAGGTCAGCCAGTCACAAGTACAGGCAGACAGAGATCACACACAGATGCACGTTGCGTCAGCGACATCGGAACATCCCGCTCAAAGATCTCACTTGGACACAGCACAACAGCAGCAGCAGCAGCAACAACAATTTCAGCAGCAGCAGCGTACAGGTGCACAAGCAATGTATTACTTGCAACCGTATGGCACAGCGCCCGAACAAGCACACCAGCAGCAACAGCTCTTTCAGCAGCAGCGGCCCGTCAGAAGCCAGCACCACACTGAAGCTCGCACACCCCAAGACAAGGCGAGACTGACACAGCAGCAGCAGATAAACGCTGCGCCGATAATGTCTTCAGATCACTCTACAGTTCAACAGTCAGGAGCCCTCTCCAGACCATCAGCTAGCCACCCCCAGCAACAACAACAGCAACAGCTATCTTTGCCTCACTCCCATCGCACTACTACAGCAGTGGACGATGGCGGCGGCAGTGGTGGTGTGCAGCGTACAGCAATGGTTTACCCGCAGCAGGCGCACGGACGAGGCCAGACGGCAGACGAGCTGCCCGAGCAGCCTGACAAACAGAGCGCGTATGACTCGCAGACCGGGCAGCTGTCGCGTGCAGAGGTGGCGACTGGCGTACAGCAGCAGCAGGCGGCACGTCGACAGATTAGCAGCACCACCAGCAGCAGTACAGTGCATGCGGAGGCAGAGATGAGTCGCATGAGCTCTCTTTCCACGGTGCGTACTCCACAACCCTACCAACAGCATCAGCAGCAAAAGCAGCAGCCTAAGCAACGTCCTTCACTTTCACAGTTGAGTAGTGCAGGACGAATCTACGATCATTCCCAGCAACGAGGCGCCGGTGTCACTCGTGTCCAGGCACCCAGCACTGGTCAACAGCAGCAACAGGCCATGGCCATCATGGCATCGCATCGGCAGCAGCAGCCTAAAACGCACGGCGGCCACGACGGCTCGTTGGACAGCGCCTTCTACAGCCATGCCAGGCGCACTCCTAGCGCCCAGCAGATGCAGCAGCAGAAGCAGCAGCAGCAGCAACAACAACCAATGTATGCAACATCCATGGTGGACGGGCAGCCTTCCCAGAGACACCCACAACATCGAGCGAATCAGCAGATGCAGCCATCGTCACACCAAGGCTACCACCGACAGCCAGCAGCCCAGGTATCTCATACCCCATCACAGCAACGACGCCATCAGCAGCAGCAGCAGCAGCAGCAGCTACAACAGCAACAAGATCTCTACCGTTACAAATCCCAGTCGCGCCCGCAGCAGTCGCTCTCCGCGGCGGTGGCTGTGACTATGCGGCCAACATCACAAGCAAGGCCGGCCGCAGGGCAAGTCGATTACGCTGTTATTGACGGGGATAGTCCACCGTCAATGCAGTCAACAACCGTGCAGTCTCACCAGCACTTGACAGGAGCAAAGCAAAGGCAGCAGCAGCAGCCACCACAGCAGCAGCAGCAGCACTGGGGCCGGTATCCGCCTGCTGCCGGCAGTAACCAGTCCACTGCCGGCCAGTACCCTTCGCGTAGTACAGTGTCACCGAGCGAATCACCTGTCTATCAGCGACCGCCGATGATGAAATCAAACAGATCCTCGAGCGCAGGAGTCGAAGCGATGGACACAGGCACGAATCCACACCAACCGCTGGTAGCGTCATCTCACGCCTCCGCTCCGCTTCCCCGCAGCTCTGGCTATGCTCAAACTGATACCAACACTGCTACAGGCGGCCATGACCGCAGCTGGCAATTTCACACCCAGAAGAGTAATCGCCATCATCACTCCTCCCTCACTCCCAGTCAACAGCAGCAGCAGCACACTTTGTATTCTATAACACAGCAGGGATCACAACGGCCAAGGGAGTCTCCGGCACTGATGCCCAGAGATATATCCACGAGGCCCAGGCAAGCTCACAGTAATACTGGCAGCACTAATGGCAGAGATGATGTACAGATATCTCCTACAGGAGACATGGATACTCTGAGTACACAGGCCGTCGAGCTTTATGATGACATGGATGTAGCACCTGAGCTGGACGATTCGTTGTTGAAAGTTGCAATGTCGATTTACGACCTGTCCACTTGCCTGGATGAGAAGAACCCAGACAGGGAGAAGCTTGACACTCTCACCGGCATCGTTCTGCAGAGTATAGATCAGCAAAGAGAGCGTGAATTCAAGTACAGATGTCAAGCGGGTGCTTGGAGCGCAGGAGGCCGCTTGAGCGTTGAGTACGTTGGTAATGTGGGCAACGAAACGTGGAAACGCTTCCACCTGGTGTGTTCTCTGATTTTGCCTGCTAAAGCGAAACAATGGGAGCGTTCAGTGTACCACGATGCCGCATATGACTCCACACTCAACGTGTTCCGGTGCCATTTCTGCAATGATGAGTTCAAGCGCCGCCGAGAGCTGGAGTATCATTATCTGGGTCACCGGCGTCCAGCCGCCCCGTACCTCTGCCTGATCTGCGGTAAATGCTCACCGGACCGGAAAACAAACGACTCTCACCTGTACCGTCACGTCATGAAGGACGTGACGTGCCAGCTGTGTGGCAATGCCATCAAATCCATCACCTCGTACCTGCAGCACTGGATAGACGACCACTTCTTCGGCACGCCACTTGTGGCCCTGCCCATTCCCACGCCGGACGACTCTGAGTTGACCATCACGCCGTGCAAGAGTAGCGACATGCTCCCGCAGTCTCTGCCCGCAGGCCGCGATCGTGATGCAGTTTCCCGCCCGCAAAACTGGGACGAGAAGGTGTCTTGCTACAAACAACTGGCTGCTAAGATATCGCCAGAGTCGGCTGGCTACTGGCAGACTCGGGTAGGGAAAGACCCCAGTGTTCATCAAGCCACTGGTGACTATTGGTGCGGGCAATGCGAGATCATGTTTCAGTGGCGGCGTGACCTGGAGTTCCACTTCCTGACTCACATCGAACCAACTCGCCCATCTGTATGTCACATCTGCGGCCGTGTGTTCTCAAAGCAGGATCATACTAATCGCCATGCCCATGTGCACAATCTGGGTGATCTCATCTGCCAGCTGTGCGGCGATACATTCACTCGGAACTCGCATCTCGAGCGTCACTGGAACAATGTCCATTTCCCCAATGTTTCTAGTCCCCAAGCAAGCGCTCTCAATGAATCAACATCACCCGTTGATAGCAGTCATGCTCTTGGAGACTTGTCCGATGCAGAGCCCGAAGAAAGCTTCAACGCATCTCCCCTGCCAGGCGGTTACCTCCATGAACTATTGACACGTGAACAAACACGACACGTCGACACCAGCAGCCGGTTCTCTCACATAAGTGGCTCGCCCAAGCGTGATCCCAAGCCGATAACCCGAATGGACAGGCGCCGTAGCCTGCTCTCCACCACCACACCGACTTCTACAGGTGAGAAGGAGCGCACACCTCGCCGGACCGCCGCAGCTGTTGCTGCAGTTGCTGCTGCTGCGGCTGAAGAGGACTCTCCGCCCGAGTTCAACCCGGAACGGCCGTACAAATGCAGAATCTGCCACCGAGCGTTCAAGCGCAGCGCACATCTTGTTCGACACGAGCATGACCTGCACCAGGTGCAGCATGATCGCAACGCTCCACGCAGCAGCAGCAAGTCCACGGCACCTCACCAGCAGCAGCAGCAGCCTGTTCTGGTCCACTGCCAGATTGCCAAGTGCAACGCCAAGTTTTTGCGCCGCGAGCTCCTGTGCAGCCACATGCAGACGGCACACGGAAAGAGCGCCATTGTCTGCAAGCACTGCGATCGCGTCTTCACCACAAACGGCGCGCTCACAAATCACGCCAAGACCCACGAGAGAGCCGCCCGCGAGAAACTGCAGAAGAAGGCCAAGAAGAAGATGAAGAAGAAAGGAAAGCGACCGGCAACGGGAGCGGCGGCAGCTGCGGCGGCGGCATCCGCCGCTCGTAAGGCAGCAGCACAGACTCATAGCCGTATGACTACTGCTGCTCCCCCAGAGCAATGGGACGATGGGGAGGATGTAGGAGATGCTGCTGGCCACTCGGGCAATGCTTCTGATAATGCGCAGGTTGGCGATGAGTACGGCAGTGAGGAGGTTTCACCCAGTGATGAGCAATATGATGAGGAGCAGTACGAACATGAGGAGCATGGTGAGCACGAGGATCCGGACGAACATGATGGAGAAGAAGAACATGCCTTCGTCAAGAAGGAGCAGGAGGAAGAGGAGACGAACGAGTCGGGTCTCTCCGACAAGGAAGTAGCCATTGAGTAGGCCGTCCGCTCTCGCAGCGGTGTCACGCATGTGTGGTACATTGTCAGGTATGTCTCATACACTCACTGTGGGCACTCACTGCGGGCACTCACTGTGGGCACTCACTGCGGGCACTCACTGTGGGCACTCACTGCGGCGCACACAACAGTAGAGTGGAGCATGCGCACCCACCGGTCTTGCGCACGTAGAATGTTGTTTGTATTTATTGCATGGGCTTTGAATTTGCGGCAACTCAAGTATAGTAACTACGTACAGCTGTACCGTGTACCGTGCTGCGAAGGAACATCCCTGCTGGTAAAACGGCCCAGAAGTATGATAATTATGATAGGTAACTAGGTACTGTGATACAGTGCTGTGAAGAAATATCCCTGCTTGTAAATCGGTACAAACATACTTCGGCCTTGTTTTTCTGTTCTTTATACCCTTCGGGCAGCAAAGCCAAATCAATATACTCCCACGTTGTCCTCTTTTCATGCACCTAATTGGTCGAACTGGGTTCTATTCGCCTCGGATAGTTATAGCCTTTTGGCGCAATGTGTGTTGATATGCGTTGCAATGCACATACCCCGTACAGGTACAGGAGTCACTTGGGCAGTTGACGAAAAAAAAGAAGCTCCGAGGCTATTTTTGTGTTTTGCTTTTGTTCTCTTGTTGGGAGTCACAAGCCGATAAGCAAGATAACAGTTACTTTGATCGGTGTACTTACCTACTGTATATCACGCATGGAAATACTGGCATTTAAAAAAATGCATTTGAGGCTTCCTTACAACTGCTCTGTGCTATTCCGCCATAATATCCTTGCTCATTGTACATTGCATGCGCGCATGGGAACGCTGATTAATATTTGTATTTGATGTTCCCTGGCAATGCTGGTATTGTCTGTATTTGATGCTTCCTTTCATCCACAGTGTGCTGTTCCCTCACACATGTGCTCCAGTGCAGTTTTGTTTTTGTGGTGTCGTAGCTCTATTTAACCTGGATGTGCAATTGTTTGGGGTCAGTATTTGGTTTGATAATCTTTTTTTTTTCTAAGACATCATGATCGGGTCTAGTATTATATTCCCATCAACGTTATAAAGTACAACTGTGTTTGCGTCGTCGACTGCGCACATGCGGCCGTGCTGCTGTTTTGAGTGGGAGTGTGTGCACATGTGTGTGTGTGTGGGGGGGGGGGGGGGGGTCATTTCCAAGTCCGCCCAGGAGTACGAGTGTCGGCCGTTGGGTGGTTCAATATCCTTTTCAATATGGACAAGTACAAGTGTGTGTGTGTGTGTTGGGAGGAGGGGGGGGGGGGGGGGGGGGCGTGGTGAGTGTGCATATATTGTGTGTGTGTGTGTGTATTATGTGTGTTGGGGGGGGGGGGGGGGGAGGCAGCATGCATGGTGGGTGTGTTGGGGACGTGTGTGTACGTGTGTGCGCGCGCGTGCACGTGTGTGTGTGTGTGTATCACTAGCCGTGTTCATTCATGCTCTTTAAATTTTTTTAAAGCTGATGGGTTCCTCCCGCTCCAGTTTGGTCAGTACGGTAATGACACGCATAAGAATGCATGTGCCTGTATTCGGGTTCAGTGTATTAGACTAGTGGTGTGCATGGGTATTCAGGTACCCGTGCTACCCGTGAGGACCTCAGGTAGACGGGTACCGAATAGTACCCGAAAACCCGAAGTCGCAGATGACATCATGTACAGTGCACGTGTACAAATAATTCACGCATGTTTACGCGGTGCGCAAGGGAAGAGGCCGGTGTGCATTGTGGTCTTACCATGGAAACATTACCCGATCGGGTACCCGTGCTACCCGTGGAAAACTACCCGGACCCGATACCCGAAGAAAATGCTACCCGACTCAGTCCTATACATGTATTAGACGCACCCTCATATACATGTACAGTCTGTATCGGCTATAGCGTACCCTTTTGATTTCCGTGATTTTATCACTATAACCGATGCATCCCTATATGCGATATGATCGATTTTTTTTCGATCGACACATGAAAGGCAAGGAAATACTTCCAGCTATGAAAAGTATGAATGCCGCAGACATCACCACGCAACATGACAATTTGTTCAAGGTTTGGTTTTGTGTTTTTCCAAAATCGATTTTCACGTTCCGATCATCAGTGGAAATACGGAACTAAAGATTTGTTATCTCGTCCCGATTGTTTGAGTGTGTATGATGATTCCCACTTCTCTGTACTGTGTCGTGCCCGTTATGTCCAGCAGTTGAAGGTCCTTGAAGTTGAAGCTGTTTGTATTCGTACGCATAAGCCCGATTTGTGTAAGCAAAAAGAACATGTTTTAGCACTTAGGTTATTTTCGTGAGTTTGCACCCCGTGTTCATGAGTTGTTTCTGCACTGTTCATGCCCGTTTGTCACACTTACTCTTTATTTTAGTTCTCACTTTTTGTAATACTTACCACAAGTTACCCGTCATGTGTCACACTTCTTTGGATTTTTAACCTTTGTTTTTCCCTTGATCTCTTTAGTTCCGTATTTCCACTGATGATCGGAACGTGAAAATCGATTTTGGAAACACACAAAACCAAACCTTGAACAAATTGTCATGTTGCGTGGTGATGTCTGCGGCATTCATACTTTTCATAGCTATTATTAAACTTTTATCTCCACGTACATGTAGATTATTTTTAAAAATACTTCCAGCATGGCGTTTTGACAAAATGAGCATGCTGCATAGTTGACAGTGCCCGCATTTCCATAAAAAAATTCTGTTATTATACTTATGAGTTACATGTATGTACATGTATCACTATAAAAATAAGAAACGTGAAGAAAGTAAAAAAAATAGGGCCTTTGATATTATTGCTACATGTACATGTATAGGAATGGGTTTGCTCCCACACTGGAGCTCGCAAGTCGCAACCTCTATTTCGTAATGTACTTATTTTAAAGTAAAGTTACCACTATAGCCGATACCCAATGCTGTAGTACACTATAGCCGATACCCAATGCTGTAGTACACTATAGCCGATACCCAATGCTGTAGTACACTATAGCCGATACCCAATGCTGTAGTACACTATAGCCGATACCCAATGCTGTAGTACACTATAGCCGATACCCAATGCTGTAGTACACTATAGCCGATACCCAATGCTGTAGTACACTATAGCCGATAATAATAGTGTGTTATATGCATGTTTATCACTCTTCTATATCGACCTCCACTAATTCTCGTGATCCTTGACTGGTCCTATATTACCCATATCGCCGCGATATCGCCGCGATATCGACCGCTTGTATCGACCACTTAAGCGGGATTCACAGAAGCTTTTTTGCGATGCGACACGCGATGCGACAGACGCGAAACCGGGAAAACCCCAAATCGCAGCCATGTCGCACCCCACGCAACTGCCGCAACTGGGCCATCGCAGGCCATCGCAGAAGTGAAGCTTGGCTCAACTTTTGCGATGCGATGCGATGCGACAAGCGATTTGGTGTACGATTTTGACCTTTTCTACAGCAAAGTTGTACAAAGGTGCAAGAGTTGCCTATAAATTTTTTCAAGTTGTGTCAAACCGCGCGAATATCATGGTGGCGTACCCAAATCAGCAAAACTTTGTCGCATCGTTGACTTCTTCTGTGAATGGTATTTCGCGAGTTCGCATCGCACGCGTCCGTCGCAGATCGCGTCGCATCGCGTGTCGCATCGCAAAAAAGCTTCTGTGAATCCCGCTTTAGGCATTGTAATCTTTCGACTTTGGAGGGACTTAGAATTTTTCTCTCCACTTCAAAAAGAAAAATTGAAAGAAAGAAGACAAAGGAAGAGAAGTCGCAGGATTTGAACTCACAACAGTATGAATCTCAAGCAACCCCTTATACCACCCAGCCACTGTGCTGCAGATGCTGAACTCTGTTGTTCTTACAGTCTTGTACCCAAAATAGGCAACATCCTATGTACACTATAGTACAAATGCTATACTAAAAAGGTTAAAATAGCTCCTAAAGGTTCAAATTTTGGGGTTATGGCAAAGGAATCGTGATAAATAGGATATTGACCTCGACTTCGGTCTATATGGGAAATATAGGCCTCGTAAAAGACCTCGGCGGACCTCGGTCTTTTACTCGGCCTATATTTCCCATATAGACCTCGTCTTGGTCAATATCCTATACTTATACCTCACTCATACACTTACAGTCTTAGGCATGCTCTCCCTTAGTGGTGTATATATCTCCATATACACCGCTAAGGGGAATTAGCAGTAGTTGTCAGCGAGGAACAAGCCATTAGGAGGTCACACACGGTGAATATGGAGGGGTATAAATATATTATAACAAAGGAACCTCGTGTATATCGAGATATATACACCAGTTATAAAAACCTCGGCTTCGCCTCGGTTTTCATACTGGTGTATATATCTCTATATACACTCGGTTCCTTGTTATAATATATACTTTGATTCTTTGTTGCCATCATAATATCCGATATATCATTACATCCGATAATATTGGTTATGAAGTTGAAGACACCACTGCAGCTGTACTTATGGTTGATAAAATTAACATGGTGGTAAAGACACACCCGGCAATATGGCGGTAAACACACGCCTGCCCACGCACGCTCTCTAGGCTGCAAAGTTCTAGCACAGAGCTCTCCTTCTCACCACCACCACCATCACCATCAGTGGTGTCTTCAACTTCCTTCTCCCGAGTCAAGCTCCGTATGAAAACATCCAAGAAGAAGATTGCCTGATGAGTCCAGCGGGGACGAAACGTACGTCGCAATCGAGCTATGTCGTCGCTGTGTCATCTTCTATGTGCCATGCGCTACTTGATGTACCAGCCTGCTATGCCGGATACCGCCAACCATGCATCGACCAGGCGCCAGGCGCGAACTGATGGTGGTGGTGGTGGTGAGAAGGAGAGCTCTGTGCTAGAACTTTGCAGCCTAGAGAGCGTGTGTGGGCAGGCGTGTGTTTACCGCCATATTACCGGGTGTGTCTTTACCACCATATTTATCAACCAATATTGGTTATAGTGATATTTTTACTGGATAAAATACGTTTTGCTTTTGATATTAATTTTTTACT